ACAACTGCACTCTGAGTTAATGGATTCCATGAGACACGGCACCGGCTGCCTTCAGCCTCTTATGGACAAGAGTGTAACAGATGAAACTAACTGACCAGTTTCTTACAGAAACAAATGGAAAAACAACAATTAGATATCAGCAAAAATCTCTGTTGAATCAAGGATCTATTTGTTAACTTTCTTTTCTTTGCTTGTTTGTCGTACTATTCTTTTCAAGGCTGGGTGTAGCAAAATTCCCTCAAGATACCCAAAACCAAACAGGGTGAAGAGACAATCCCTTTGCTTCAATGGAGATGATGTGGCCGGAGAAGCAAACACCTTCATGCAGATTAATCGGATGCTGTTTTTTCTGACTCTAATGAGCAATGATTTCATACTGAGGATGTAATTAAATTGCAGCTAGTACAGACTGTCTATTTCATCACTCCACTCACATGCTCCTGCCCTAGTTTTAATGATCAGAGTCTGAACAGTGAAATAAAAAGGCTCAAAAGCTGCAATGTTTGATGCCAAACCTTAAATCGTAGCCTACACAACACATTAACAGTGCGCCCTCCATTCGCCATTTTCTTAAATCATATTTACTTACTGACATCTAGTGGCAATTTACTGACAGTGCAAAATTTGTAACTGAACATGATATACATGCTTGAAGGACAGTGTGAGAGGCTGCTTCTGTCCTGTGTCACATCATCAATAAACACCAGTGTCCCAGTGCCAGTGGAAGCCATGCACACAAGCCATCACACTGCCTCCACCGTGTTTTACAGATGATGTGGTATGCTTTGGATCATGAGCTGTTCCATATCTTCTCCATTATTCTGGTAGAGGTTGATTTTGTTTTTTGTCTGTTCAAAGAATGTTTTTTTCAGAACTGTGCTTGGCTTTTTATTTAGATGTTCGTTGTTGTTGTTTTGCTTTTTTGCTTTTTTTTTTTCTATTCTTGAGGCCTATGAGTGGCTTGGATCTTGCAATGAACCCTCTGTATTTACTTTCATGCAGTTTTCTTTTTATGGTAGACTTGGAAATCGATACGTGTACCTCCTGGAGAGTGTTGTTTGCTTGGCTGGGTGTTGTGAAGGGTTTCTCTTCACCACGGAAATGATTCTGTGATCATCCACCACTGTTGTCTTCCATGGACGTCCAGGTTTTTTTTGTGTTGCTGATTTCACCAGTACTATCTTTCTTTCTCAGGATGTACCAAACTGCAGATTTTGCCACTCCAAATATTGTAGCAATTTCTTGGTTGACTTTTTTCTGTTTACGGAACTTAAAGATGGTTTGTTTCACCTTTTATCTATCTATCTATCTATCTATCTATCTATCTATCTATCTATCTATCTATCTATCTATCTATCTATCTATCTATCTATCTATCTATCTATCT